CTTACTTTGGCATATTTCTTTTGCAGAATGTAAACAAAAGGTAATGATAATTAGTTTATATAAGTGTGCTGGCTGTAAATGATGCTAAATATAAATTTTATGCAATTAAGGGCTTATGGAACATATGAAAACTTTTTTACTTTTATGGTAATAAGGAATGTTTGTGCCTCGACTATTGTATTGCTTCTGGATGTGAAGCTATGTAATTATTTCTGCTATTATATTAAGTGCCATACTTTTAATAAAGCAAATGTCCATATCAAATTATTGTAACTGGTATTTCCTGAAAAATCAAACTTAGTATCTTCCTATATAATGTTTTGATATATGCATATAGGTGTATTTATTGGCAATATTTAGGATAGAATTTTTTATTATATTTTATATTGGAATTGTAGCGTGTTCTTTTTTTATGATTGAGTATAAAGTATTTGGTATATACTGGGTTTATTAGGTGCTGGTTTAGTTAAGAGTTTTATTTTCCCTTTTTAGGGAATAAGATTAGCTGATATATATGGTATGGTATATATACACACACACATACATACATACATGTATTTGGATGTAGATACATTAAATATTATGGTTCTTCCATAGGTAGAGGCTGAATTGATATTTACCTTGCTTCAGGAGGGGGCTGCATGTCTGGGGCTAATTTACGCTTGAGCCCTAACAGAAAATGTTCATCTTTATACCTGAGGCACAGGTCTTCAAAACTAGGCAGACCAGGGTGAAGAGTTTTCTGGGGCTTACCAGATTCTGGGTCTTCAGCTTTCTGGATGTCTTAAAAAGTGCTTGCTACTTTGAAACTCAGATTCAGTACTTGGAATATATTTTATTTTTTGATATTAAAATGTACACAGAAAACCTTGTCTGGTGGCCATTGGGCTAGTTGATCTAGTTGGAGTTCCCGTTTTCTTTTTTTTTTTCCTATACTTAAAAAAAAAAAAAGTTCACTATACCTTATATACAACCCTTGGATCCAAATGTATTTCAGAATTTGGATTTTAGAAAGTTAATACAAACATTCCCATCCGGGTAGGTAGCACTTTTAACCACAATATTTCTGCTGTGAAGCCTATGAATACTCACCTTAACTGGAATACATAGGCCTGATAAATAACCTCACCTAAGTTCCCGTCAGATCTCGCCACCAATAGTTTGCAGCAGACATATTTGGAGGGTGTTCCTATTTTTGGAGCTTTTTAAAGATTTTGAAATTCAGGGTAAGGAATTTTTGATGTGAACTGACTTTTGAATTTTGTTATTTTATGCTTTCCCACTATTTCCCTTTTCTTATTAAAAGGAAAGTGGAAACAGCCTGTGTGGGGAGTAGCTGTCCTGAGTAGCACACGGTCTAGCAAGGATTTGGAAGAGGCCTTCCTGCATTCCGGAGCAGGTTGTTGCTGCCAGATGAGCAAGGGAGAAAAGCAGCCCCCATGGGCTGGCGGAACTGTTCATAGCATCTGCCAGGAAACTCCAGGAGAACCTGTGCAGCCCAGGTAGTTTAGAAAGCAGTGGGGAATGCAACTCTTGATTTCTGGGTTGTGAGTTTGAGCCCCATGCTGGGCATAAAGATTACTTAAAAGACATTGGAGAGGGTATGTGCTCTGGTGAGCGCTGTGAATTGTGTAAGACTGATGAATCACAGACCTGTACCCCTGAAACAAATAATACATTATATATTAATAAAAAAATAAAAAAACATTTTAAAAATAAATGAATGAATGAATAAAAAAAAAGCAGTGGGGAGTTGGTCGGGGGTGGGGTGGGAGTGCCGAGAGCCCAAGGATGACATTGGCAAAATGTTCAAGTAGTGTTTAATAAAGAGCAGTTGTTCACGGGTCTGATGGTCTGATGTGCGGGTGTGGAATTCTCTTCCTTGGCGCCAGCAGTCGACGTCTTCCGTACTTCACCTGTTCTGTAGCTCTCAAGGATAAAATTTGTAGTGCTGGTAGAAAAGAGCAATTATAGAAGATTTGAATTAGTTCTGTATCCATCAGGGTTCTACCAGAGAAACAACCAGGAGGAGACGTCCAGAAAAAGAGGGATGGAGAGATCTGTTTCCGGGAAGTGACCGGTGGCCATGGGGGTGGCAAGCGTGTGATCCAGAGGGCCGGCGGCTGCCACAGGCTGCGCGCACTCGGCCGGGGCTGAAGCTGCAGACTGCCCGTGGAATGGCCTCACGCTTTGGCTCCCAAAGGCTTTTTCCGTTCTCTTGTTTGAACAAATATGGCTTAAAGTAGTGCCATTCATTCATTCATTTGAAAACGGCCCCCGGGCACCGTGTGCAGCCGTTCTGTCAGGTGTTGGGGACGTGAAGGTGCACACTCCCTCCCGGAAGTGAAGCTGCGCTATCTCTTCAGTTAAGAATGGATTTTGACTTAGTGGTGCCCTTAGCTCCTCTTGTTCCGCCTGCGTGTTTACACCCGGCACAAAAGCTTATTTGGTTTTGAAACAACAACAAATCGGAAATGGAATTTAAAATAGGGCAAAACGCTAAAGCTGCATAGGAATTGATGTTTTAAATCAGGGAAGGAAGGGACAAAAAACTAGATAGACACCACCTAACAGCCTTAGTGTGAGGGGCTCTGCCTTTCAGAAGTGCTTCTGCCCTCCTTCACTGATCCCCAAAGCAGTGGAGATTGACCTGGTGGCTGGACTTGGGGGGGAGGACCCGAACATGTGTAGCTCAACCCTTCCTTTTTGAATTTGGCAGCCTTTAGAACAGGAGCATCTGTCCACCCTCTTCCATGTGGCGAGCTATGGGAGTCAGAGGCCCACAGTTCTCCTTGGGACGGGAGAGGTTCCTGTGATATTCGGGTCTTAGGGGAGTCCATTTTGCGGCAAATCAAACTTTTTTACTATTAAAGCTGACATTTTGATCTTCATCTTTCTGACTTGTGCCTACTCAGCTGGTTTGGAAGTTGAAAAAGAAATAAGGGCTATTTTTTGAGGTCGCTCAAATATCAACACTCAATAGTCTACAATCACTTAGTATATAGGAGTATTAGTGTACATAGCTCATTAGGTATGTTCATTAGGTATGTTCATAATCATGACCTTGGACTTTTAATGAAAATTTAAATTACATTGCATAACGTGTTTAAAAAGAAAGGTTTATGTAATATATTTTATAATATAGCCTATCTAAAAGTTTTGATTCTAACCAGAGATAAATTCCTTATCATTCTGGAGAATGCAGCTATCCACAACAACTTCTTTCATGATGATTCCAAATAACAAAGGAGAAAAAAAATTTAATTTACATCTTTGACTTAAAGGGTTTTATCCTCCATAATTTCTCCTTGATTCTTTTTCTTGACCTTGTGTCAACCAAGCTTGAAGACATTTGTTTTGCACAAATATGGAGCAAGAAAGTGAATATGACCAAAAAAAGCAGTGTTACTAGGACAGTAGGAATGCTGTAGCAAGAAAGCAAACATTTATTTAAGAAATCAGAACTAAATGGAAAAGTGAATACCAATTTATAACCTAAAAACACCCACCCCCTGTGAAATTTTAGGTCGAGTTTGTTCTTAACTGCTCAGGACACACCTAATTTTTATTTTGTAATTTCAAGTGTTTATGCACATAACAGTTCGAAAATCCAGAATTTGTTATAAGTGGGCTATGCTGTTAAATGACCTTGTTAAAACAACATGAGAAATCAAGAGTTCACTCTCCCACTTTCTCTCAGTTCTGAGACCGCAGAAAATGAATCTGAACTCGTGTTTACAGTTATAAATCCTATAAATAGAAAGTTGCAATGCTCTTGGTCCTACCACATCTTGTGCTACTTGGAGATCCTAATTATAACAACTGGTAAAACACCAAACCAAACCAAACCAAACTCACCAGTCTTTGTGATGACTGGCACTTTACAAAGTGAGTGAGTGCCTTACACAAGGCTAGCCTGTTTTCATAGGTTCAGTGTGTCCTATTTGACTTATATAGCGACACATACTACCAGTTGGTATTAAACCTACTTTCAAAAATAAAGAGAGTGATTCTATGAAGTAACATCAAGTCTGTTACTTTGTGTTAGAGGTAAATGCATAGGCTGGGCCATTATGAGTCCCACCACCTACTAGCTGTTTGATCCTGGTGGACTTTGGTTTCTTCACTTGTCAAAGAATATCATCCCATCTACACAATTCCCACATAGGCTGGTGTTTGGATGGAATGAAACAACATACCAGAGATTTTCGAAATCCAAACAGCTGTTCACATGTAGGGTCACATTTCAGTTTAATTTCACTAGCTACTGCCTGATCTCCTGACTTGTCCTAGCTGAACCTTTTTTTAATTACCAGTAACTTGGGGGAAAATATTAACCTCAAAGTGCTGTCGTGGGGATTAAAGAAAGGAAGACAAACTGAAGTTTGTGAAAAATGTAGGTTGATTTTTATTGCTTATAACTGTATATAAAGGAAACATGATTAATTTTGTGTAATTTATTCCTTTGACAACATACTGAAAATCAGATCAACCCAAGTCCCCTCAAAACCTGAAGATTTCTTGTGAAATCTGATACACTTTGCATTAAAATGAGAGAACTTGTGGGTTAGAGTGATATAGTGGGAACACCACATAGAACTTTGGGGGCATTTTAGTATTGACCAATGCTACTTTTATGGGGAGTTAGATAGTCACAGTTGAATAGCATAAATTAATTCCACACAGCAATTCAATATTCCATTGTAGATTGATTATCAACAAGAAAGAAAAAGAAAAGTCACAATGGCTTTGATGAAAATAAGCCTTGGAATAAAGACTTTTTTTTGTTGCTATCACTAGACTTTTGTCTAATATGTGCACACCATTCTGAGATCATGGATTTTCATCAGAACACCTTCACTGGTACATTTTTCTGAGTTCCTTTTGAAAGTGTGCCCTCCTACTTCCCATCCACCGTCCACCAGGATGTCAAGTTGCTTGGTGTGAAGGCTTGAGGTCGGCATCTGTAAAGCTCAATGAAATGAGGCAGGTGCTCTGTGGAAGATGCAGGTGGTTTAGAGACAGATGTGACTGTTTTCGTGGCACGTGGTACCCACGCCAGCCACAGACAGATAAAGCTTCCCATCTGGACACACACAGATTTCATAGAGTCTTTGTGAGCTGCCGGCGGCACCCCGAGTCCCCTGAACCAACTTGGGTAAACACACAGTTTCAGCATCAAGCACAAGCTGTTTGGGAGAAAACGAGAGATGAAGTGGTAAAGGAGAATGGACATGATAGTGTAAAACTCATATCTCAAGAAGCTCCAGACAGATTAGTTTCTTCTCTGCATAGAAAATGAAATAAGCACCTGACTTCACTTAAGACATTATCAGAGTCTTTTAAAACCTATTTCTATTTTCCATTCAGGCAGGGGCTTAATAATTCCTTCTCCAAATTGAAGTCTTTTTTTTTTTTAACCCATTGTGCTAGTTGAGCTAGGAAGATTTATGTGCTATACTAAAAATACCTTTCAGAATTATCTGAAAAAAAGTTTTAATTCACATTTATCTTGTAACCTATTTTGACTTTATGCTAAATCACCTTCTCTACCCCATTAGGATAAAGTACAAGCCGCAGAAATAAATTCATCTTAATAATTTTTACCTGTGAATGTTGGAATTTCTGCTGATTTTGTTTTCCAATGAGAGGCAATTAACTTCATCCTATTAGCTGCCAACCATTTCCCTAACTTCTCTTAGATGTAGAAAAGCAGTAGACACACAGACTAAAGCCAACTAAAATTAAATGAAAGCTATTGGGGTTTTTGTTCCTATGACAGTTTAGTTACACTGAAATGTAAACAGATGGCCATTAATTGAGGTTTGGAAATCTTTTTGGGAATGAAGAACTGTCCCACTGAGTAGCCGAATTTTACCCATGCCGGGGCGCTCACTTATTAGAAGGAATTAAAGCATGTCATGGACGGGCATAATGTTGTGCCTTGCAAACAAGTTTGGAATCTTCCTTTATTTTCCATACTCTCATCCATGAACTCTACTCTTTTCATAAACCGATGCTTGCAGTCTGTACACCCTCTTGGGAAGCTGACCACTGCCATGGGAAGCAGTGGGTGGAAAAATATTAGAAGCAAAGCTTTACCTTGTGGTCTGGGACACTGTCATAGTAAAAGAAATGAAATATGTATTGTATTTTTTTTTTTAACTCAGAACGTACTTATGCTATTGTCCAGTGCCTTGGGTTCTGTGGCTAGTTGGTTTTCGCTAATGTGCTTTACCTTTTCCTTGTTGGCTTCTTTGCTTTCCTTTCTTATGGTTAATCAGTGACTTTGTTTTCTAGTTGTTATTTTTTTCTTGCTCTTCCAGCAAACTCTAGTCACTGGCAATCCCACATACTCCTTCCTTGCTCACCTTCGTTTATCTTTATAGAAATATATCTTGTCTTGCCAGATATCCCCGCACTTTGAACTAGCTTCCAGTAATAAGGAACATCAGCTTATGAGTCAGGCTATGTGCTACTATAAAAATGGCACCTTATTCGCAGAAATAAGTGAGACTATTTCAAAATTAAAATTAGCATATTTTTTCCAAGGTCATATATTTTAAGTATGCAGTGACATTATCATTTAGTAATGAGATTCCAAAATGCTTGACTTCCATTTTTGCATTTATCTGCTCTTGGCATCATAACTTCTTCAGTTACAACTTGAAGGGGCTTCAGCAGATGTCTTTTATATTCCACTAGCGGCCTGCCATTGGATGGGCCCTGTCCACACTCATGAGCTGCCTCTCATGGCCTCCATTTGCTGCCTCAACCACACCTTCCTCTTAATATCAGATTAATATAATAATTTCAAAATGTTGCCACCCATATTACCACATTGCTTTCTCACAGCACTGTGACATAGTTAAGCAAATATTATTTTCCTTATTTGACAAACGAGAAGATAGGTCCAGGTCTGGAGAGGCCTGTTAGTTTTCCTGAACTCAGACAGGTAATTCATGAATTTATCTAGTACTAGAACAATCAGTGTTGAGTAGCGGGTGCTCTACTGCCTCATTACGACTTTGGCTTATATCAGCGATGGTTTATTTCTGGACTTGAAGTTCCAGATTTTATCCTTATTGTGGTTGACTTTTAAAGCTCTTATTTTTCATGTTTAATTTTTGTTTAAACATAATTTGATGTGAGCAAGCATAGGGCTCAAGGCAACAACCAATAATGGTTGTCATTTACAGGTAACTCCCAGTGACTGCCATATTGAGAGAAGTTGGATCAGTAGGTAATTGAAGAACTGATAGTCTCTGTCTGCTCTGAAAGTCATCAGGACATACAACAGGAGCTTCATATACCAAACTCACCATTCCATCACTACTTTGAAAAATGATATCCATTTGAGAAAGAGCCTCAATTTTCCCAGCATGAGCTTTAATATGAACACCCTTTGGGGCATCCATGCTTAGACTCCGTGTGGGGGATTCTAACCTGAAATGAGGGAAAGAAGCAACAAAAAATAGTATTAAAAAAAAGCTACCCCAGGAATCCCTCATTGAATGGCTTTGTGTAGAAAATACAATTAACAAAGCATATAGTATCATGATGTCATTCTTGAATGCTAATATAGTGTACATTCTTTATCGATAAATCCAGAAATAATGTGCAGTAAAGAAATTAACTTCCTATCAATAAGAATCTACAAAATTAGTATCCTTTAAAAACAGATAAAAACATTACACAGCTCTACCCCAACATAGTAGTCTCAGATGGCAGGGTTAAGCACTCTGCATATCACACCAGAAGAAAATGCAATTTGTGAATAATTTTGTAAAACTCTGTAGTGAAAACAGAAACCTGTCCAGGAAGAAGACAAACTTAAGGGTAAGACATTCATTTGCTCCCTCTTCATAGAGTGGAATGTAAGCTTAGCCTTTAGGTTTTGTTTGCATTTATTTATTTATTTATTTTTTAATTTAGGAGGATTACAGGGCCCATGTGAAGATTTCTTTTGGGAAAATACTAAAGTGGTAGGGTTGGGAAACAATGGAGACTGCCCCAGCTGGCTTTGTTTTTGTATAATTTATCAGAATCTCCTTGTGACTAAGTCAAACATAGAGAACCAGGAGTATATGGACCAGAGAAATTCTGTTTGCTTCTGCCTGAAAAATACTAAATTTCCACCAGGTGGCATAACATGATCACTTGAAAGATTTTTCAGCTACTCTAACCCAACCCAACCTGACCCAACCCAACCCAACTCAACCCAACCCAACCCAACCCAACCCAACCCAACTCAACCCAACCCAAGCCAACCCAACCCAAATCAACCCAACCCAACCCAACCCAACTCAACCCAACCCAACCCAACCCAACTCAACCCAACCCTACTCTAACCCAACCCAACCTGACCCAACCCAACCCAACTCAACCCAACCCAACCCAACCCAACCCAACCCAACTCAAGCCAACCCAACCCAACCCAACTCAACTCAACTCAACCCAACCCAACCCAACTCAACCCAACCCAACCCAACCCAACTCAACCCAACCCAAGCCAACCCAACCCAAATCAACCCAACCCAACCCAACTCAACTCAACTCAACCCAACCCAACCCAACCCAACAATCTGAAAGGCTGATTTGACTGAAATGTTTAAGATCAATGAAGTGGAACAGGATACCAAACAGTGGGTAATTCTCTCACAGCAGGTAAGATTAAGAGTAGGCATGGGTAGGAGAGAGAAAGGGGAGTGGCTCCAGAGGAAAGAAGTACCTGGGTCATTGGTTTGCATTTGAACTGACTGAATATTTATTCAGTAGATGTTTAGCTCAGAGGAATTGCTACCTTTAATTGGCAAGTTTTTGTCTACCACTATTTGTCACAGAAAACAAAGTTTCATTTTCTTACGTACATCTTAATATGTAAAATTTGATCTGTTATACATTTTGAAATTTATATTTACTTTGAGTACAAGGAAACACTTAGAGACATTTATAGAATTTATTGGTCAAATTATGTTAAGCTTAGGTTATGGGGAAACGCTTAGATACATCTAGATGATTTGATCTGCTGATTGCCTGCCCATTTTGCTAGTCGTCTACATTTTTCCTGCCTGGATTGATAGGAAAAAAGGGGAAGGAGATGGGGAAGGAAAGGAAGGAAGGAAGACATGTAAGTAACTTGTACAGGTCTGGTCCATTTCAGGCAATCCATTTGTAAATTTGAAGATCCTGGGGAAGGTGAATTTGTTTCAAAGATCAGTCATCAAACAACAAAATAACCTCAATAGGACCAACTACTAGTTTTTAAGCATATTATAATATGGTGCTTCTGGAATAGCAAATTTCTTCCCCTTCATATCATTTCTAGCCTTGAAGATGAAATATGTCAGTTCAGCACAAGTTGGAACACATTTTACCAAAAAAGGTTGTGATTAGAATGCTCTGAAGTATACATTTTCATGAACACACTGAACAGCAGTCAGATATAAAGCAACTCAACTTTTTTCTCTTTTGTTATATTTTAGTTTGCTAGTTAGATATCCAACCCTTTCTTCGAATATGTGAATATATATTTACTCATGACTTATATGAGGAACAAAAAAATTTGAACAGTGACCCAGAAATATACCAAATAAATAAGCTGTGTGTTTATACACACACACACACATATATGGTATATTTGCTACACACACACACACACACACATATGGTATATTTGCCCTTTGCCCATATTCACTTTTGCATTTAGAGAATATAACTAGTCAAGCATATATGATTGTAATATTTATTGCTCATGATTTTAAGCTCTTTTAGGCTTACAGTAAGTCTAAATTTTGTAAATAGGATGAGAGACTGGGAAGCATAAATACAAATTGACAAGAAAAGCTGGTCTAGAGACAGCACTGGCCAAATCATGCAAGGACTAGATTATGTCCACTGTTAGGCCATGCTGACCGCTAGACTATGTTAACTGTGTTGGTCTTTAATCTAAAAGTGTGGGGAATAATGTATTTAGTCATTTAACCCTTATTTATTAAGTCCCTATTATGTGCTTTTCTAGATTTGTAGAAAAACAGTAGCAAAAAAGGCAGACAGGCTTCCTGCCCTTAGGAATCTAACATTCAAGAAGCTTAAAGGATGTAAGCAGAGGAATAACAAGATTCTATTTTTGCTTTAAAAATATCACTCTATAAAGACCTGTCAAGACAGATGAACAGATGCAGAGCTCTGCCCTCAGCCCCCAATTACATATAAATGCTGGATAAAATACAATAAAAAACAAATACATACTAGGCATAAATAACAACAACAACAAAAACAAACCCAGAAAAACAAAGGGCATTTTCATAGTGCCAGAACAGAAGAAACTCATAACCAGAGTGATGAGTGGGAGTTGAAATGCTGGAGCCCTTGGAGGTAATGGGCAGATAAATGCCTTGTGGGCTGGTATTTTAAATCTCTACAGGGAAGGAGTTGTGGCCAACTGTGGGGGGCATGGGAGGAGTGTTTGAAAATGGGCTCTGGGCATACAGATGGGAGTTGAAACACAGTATGATAAGAACCCTAAAGCAGGCTGCTCTTTCTGGAATGTGAGCAGAAAGTCTTAAATCATGCACTATTGTAGAAGCCAAATCCACACACTATTCAGGCCTTGTATCAGCCCAACCTGAGAAACACCTGTGAATGCTGGCTTCAGAACAGTGCCCCCTGCAGGACCCTGGCAGAAGTGAATGGGAAACTGACATTAAAGGCAAATAGCCAAACTGTGGAAAGAGCCAAGATGTCCATCAACAGATGAATGGATAAAGAAGATGTGGTATATATATACAATGGAATATTATGCAGCCATCCAAAGGAATGAGATCTTGCCATTTGCAACGACGTGGATGGAACTGGAGGGTGTTATGCTGAGTGAAATAAGTCAATCAGAGAAAGACATGTATCATATGACCTCACTGATATGAGGAATTCTTAATCTCAGGAAACAAACTGAGGGTTGCTGGTTTGGGGGTGGGGTGGGAGGGATGGGGTGGCTGGGTGATAGACACTGGGGAGGGTATGTGCTATGGTGAGCACTGTGAATTGTGCAAGACTGTTGAATCACAGATCTGTACCTCTGAAACAAATAATGCAATATATGTTAAGAAAAAAAAAAGAAGATAGCAGGAGGGGAAGAATGAAGGGGAGTAAATCGGAACGGGAGACGAACCATGAGAGACGATGGACTCTGAAAAACAAACTGAGGGTTCTATAGGGGAGGGGTGGGGGGATGCGTTAGCCTGGTGATGGGTATTAAAGAGGGCACATTCTGCGTGGAGCACTGGGTGTTATGCACAAACAATGAATCATGGAACACTACATCAAAAACTAATGATGTAATGTATGGTGATTCACATAACAATAAAAAAATTTAAAGAAAAAAAAAGAGTCTCCATGAGAACTGCACCTAGATGAAGGGCCAAAGAGGATGAGCTCTCAGACAGAATTTTCAAACCACATGGGAGAATCTGTCAACATGAGGAACTAGAGGTAATAGATCAGTCAGAAAGGGACTAAAACTAAGTTTAGAGCATCCAAAGAGATAAATTAACACTCACAGAACAAGACCAAAATAGAAAAAGAAAGATTTAAAAACCAGGTAAGTAGAAATTAATTAAATAAAAAAATTAAAGTCTTCTGGTAGACTGAATAGTAGACATGTCATATATCAAAAGAGAATAGGACACTGTAATGTAAATTTGGTATTTTGGTGGGAAAACAAGAAATGTAAAATTTGAAATGCACAATTAATGTTTTAAATGCATAAAATAAAGCACAGAATTTCAAAGGAAACTCATTAATGACTTTTATTTTTTATTTTTTAAATTCATGAGAGACAGAGAGAGAGAGAGAGAGAGAGAGAGGCAGAGGGAGAAGCAGGCTCCCAAGGAGCAGGGAGCCCGATGCGGGACCCGATCCCAGGACCCTGAGGCCATGACCTGATCCGAAGGCAGCCACTTAACCATCTGAGCCACCCAGGCACCCATGACTTTTAAATACAAATGTAAACATTACTTAAATGGGTGATATAGCAATTTATGGGCTTACTTGTTAATTAAATAAGATCTGGCCAAAGGGCTTACAACTACTATAATTTCAAAGCAGTAAAGAGTATGTAATGTATTTTGAGATACTTGCTATAACCTTCATGTGATATTAAAGTATCTCTGGCTTCTACAGATTAAAAAGTCAAAGAAACTGCTAATCCTACTGTGGTTTGTTACCTCTCATTTATAGTTGAAGGGATGCTAAATTTCAATTAGAGGTCAGTGAAAATGAAGGATTTTTTTTTCACATTCAAAATCATTAACCCACTAAATTCTATTCTTGGACACCCAGGGAATCCACAGACCACAAGTTAAGAACACCTATACTCTAGAGAATGAGAAGACACAGATATGAAGAGGTAATGTTTAATCATTTTCCAGAATTGAAAAATAACAAGA